CGACCTTGGGATTCCAAGACATAAACACACAAGGGTAACTACACAGTAAGGTTAACTCCACTCACACAGGCACTCTCCCCTAGTTCTAGACTATTCTAACCTATTCTAAACTAACCTACAACTGGCCCGTAACACTACCCCCCACCTAAGTATTTGTAGTAATAACTACAAATACTGACTAACAAATCCTAGCTAAATAAAAAAACACAAAGCCTTTCATACACATACACTAGTTCACAAGTTAAAAATATACATTCCGAAGAATGTATATGACAGATTGTATATACAATGAAATACATAATGACAATATACAGAACTGCTACAATTTCGAGCTAGCACAAATCATCCGTGTAACTAAAAAAAAAAAAAAAAAAAATCATACACACCCAGTTGCATCGTACCGAATCTAAGAACTTTCCAGACCACAATTTTTTTGAGTCTACCCTGTGCGCTTTATGGCTACACTGGTTTACGACTCCTACTCATATCTCAACCATTCTACATCACAAAAAAAATTTGAGTCTACCCTGTGCGCTCTATGGCTACACTGGTTTACGACTCCTACCCATATCTCAACCATTCCACATCACAAAAAATTTGAGTCAACCTGCGCTCTATGGCTACACTGGTTTACGACTCCTACCCATATCTCAACCATTCCACATCACAAAAAATTTGAGTCAACCTGCGCTCTATGGCTACACTGGTTTACGACTCCTACTCATATCTCAACCATTCTACATCACTAAAAAAATCAAATTGAGTCCACCCTGTGCGCTCTATGGCTACACTGGTTTACGACTCCTACCTATATCTCAACCACTCTACATCACAAAAAATTTGAGTCAACCTGCGCTCTATGGCTACACTGGTTTATGACTCCTATTCATATCTCAACCATTCTACATCACTAAAAAAATCAAATTGAGTCTACCCTGTGCGCTCTATGGCTACACTGGTTTACGACTCCTACCTATATCTCAACCACTCTACATCACAAAAAATTTGAGTCAACCTGCGCTCTATGGCTACACTGGTTTATGACTCCTATTCATATCTCAACCATTCTACATCACTAAAAATTTGAGTCTACCCTGTGCGCTCTATGGCTACACTGGTTTACGACTCCTACCTATATCTCAACCACTCTACATCACAAAAAATTTGAGTCAACCTGCGCTCTATGGCTACACTGGTTTATTACTCCTATTCATATCTCAACCATTCTACATCACTAAAAATTTGAGTCTACCCTGTGCGCTCTATGGCTACACTGGTTTACGACTCCTACCTATATCTCAACCATTCTACCTCACAAAAAAAATTTGAGTCAACCTGCGCTCTATGGCTACACTGGTTTACGACTCCTACCCATATCTCAACCATTCTACATCACAAAAAAATTTGAGTCAACCTGCGCTCTATGGCTACACTGGTTTATGACTCCTACCCATATCTCAACCATTCTACATCACACAACAAATTTGAGTCACCCTGCGCTCTATGGCTACACTGGTTTATGACTCCTACCCATATCTCAACCATTCTACATCACAAGAATTTTGCAACTCACAGTCGATGTTGTTACATACTCTGTCAAACAGCTATAGCGTCGGGCTAACGGCATCCCCACAGCATCCAGCAAACGTCTATACAGCAACCGGCAAACATCAGGACAGCAACCGGCAAACATCAGGACAGCAACCGGCAAACATCAGGACAGCAACCGGCAAACATCAGGACAGCAACCGGCAAACATCAGGACAGCAACCGGCAAACATCAGGACAGCAACCGGCAAACATCAGGACAGCAACCGGCAAACATCAGGACAGCAACCGGCAGACATCAGGACAGCAACCGGCAAACATCAGGACAGCAACCGGCAAACATCAGGACAGCAACCGGCAAACATCAGGACAGCAACCGGCAAACATCAGGACAGCAACCGGCAAACATCAGGACAGCAACCGGCAAGCATCAAGACAGCAACCGGCAAACATCAGGACAGCAACCGGCAAACATCAGGACAGCAACCGGCAAACATCAGGACAGCAACCGGCAAACATCAGGACAGCAACCGGCAAACATCAGGACAGCAACCGGCAAACATCAGGACAGCAACCGGCAAACATCAGGACAGCAACCGGCCAACATCAGGACAGCAACCGGCAAACATCAGGACAGCAACCGGCAAACATCAGGACAGCATCAGGCAAACGACAGGACAGCATCAGGCAAACGACAGGACAGCATCAGGCAAACGACAGGACAGCATCAGGCAAACATCAGGACAGCATCAGGCAAACGACAGGACAGCATCAAGTTTATGCTTCTACTTGATTCATACTGGCCACCAGTTGTTACGTTCTGGGTTCATTTCAAATCAACCACAACACTTCCTGTAGAACTTCACTCCTTTTATTCGTCTCAATGCATTCAAGCGTACCATAACAGCCCTCGCCCTAACCGCATTCGACCTTGGGATTCCAAGACATAAACACACAAGGGTAACTACACAGTAAGGTTAACTCCACTCACACAGGCACTCTCCCCTAGTTCTAGACTATTCTAACCTATTCTAAACTAACCTACAACTGGCCCGTAACACTTGTATATACAATGATGTTTGCCTGATGCTGTCCTGACGTTTGCGTGATGCCGTCCTCATGTTTGCCTGATGCCGTCCTGACGTTGCCTGGTGCCGTCCTGACATATTCCTGGTGCCGTCCTGACGTTGCCTGGTGCCGTCCTGACGTTTGCCTGATGCCGTCTTGACGTTTGCCTGATGCTGTCCTGACGTTTTCCTGATGTTGTCCTGACGTTTGCCTGATGCTGTCCTGACGTTTGCCTGATGCTGTCCTGACGTTTGCCTGATGCTGTCCTGACGTTTGCCTGATGCTGTCCTGACGTTTGCCTGATGCTGTCCTGACGTTTGCCTGATGCTGTCCTGACGTTTGCCTGATGCTGTCCTGACGTTTGCCGGTTGCTGTCCTGACGTTTGCCTGATGCTGTCCTGACGTTTGCCTGATGCTGTCCTGACGTTTGCCGGTTGCTGCCCTGACGTTTGCCGGTTGCTGCCCTGACGTTTGCCGGTTGCTGCTCTGACGTTTGTCGGTTGCTGCCCTGAAGTTTGCCTGTTGCTGCCCTGACGTTTGCCGGATGCTGCCCTGACGTTTGCCGGTTGCTGTCCTGACGTTTGCCGGTTGCTGTCCTGACGTTTACCGGTTGCTGTCCTGACGTTTGCCGGTTACTGTCCTGATGTTTTCCAGTTGCTGTCTTGACGTTTTCGGGTTGCTGTCCTGACGTTTGCCGGTTGCTGTCCTGACGTTTGCCGGTTGCTGTCCTGACGTTTGCCGGTTGCTGCCCTGACGTTTGCCGGTTGCTGTCCTGACGTTTGCCGGTTGCTGTCCTGACGTTTGCTGGATGCTGTGGGGATGCCGTCAGCCCGACGCTATAGCTGTTTGACAGAGTATGTAACAACATCGACTGTGAGTTGCAAATTTTTGTGATGTAGAATGTTTGAGATAGGTGCAGGAGTCATAAACCAGTGTAGCCATAGAGCGCAGGTTGACTCAAAATTTTTGTGATGTAGAATGTTTGAGATAGGTGCAGGAGTCATAAACCAGTGTAGCCATAGAGCGCAGGTTGACTCAAAATTTTTGTGATGTAGAATGTTTGAGATAGGTGCAGGAGTCATAAACCAGTGTAGCCATAGAGCGCAGGTTGACTCAAAATTTTTGTGATGTAGAATGGTTGAGATATAGGTAGGAGTCGTAAACCAGTGTAGCCATAGAGCGCAGGTTGACTCAAATTTTTTGTGATGTAGAATGGTTGAGATATAGGTAGGAGTCATAAACCAGTGTAGCCATAGAGCGCAGGTTGACTCAAATTTTTGTGATGTAGAATGGTTGAGATATGGGTAGGAGTCGTAAACCAGTGTAGCCATAGAGCGCAGGTTGACTCAAATTTTTTTGTGTGATGTAGAATGGGTGAGATATGGGTAGGAGTCATAAACCGGTGCAGCCAGAGAGCGCACAGGGTAGACTCAAAAAAATTGTGGTCTGGAAAGTCCTTAGATTCGGTACGATGCAACTGGGTGTGTATGATTTTTTCTTTGTTTGTTAGTTACACGGATGATTTGTGCTAGCTCGAAATTGTAGCAGTTCTGTATGTTGTCATTATATATTTCATTGTATATACAATCTGTCATATACATTCTTCGGAATGTATATTTTTAACTTGTCTACTAGTGTATGTGTATGAAAGACTGTGTTTTTTTATTTAGCTAGGATTTGTTAGTCAGTATTTGTAGTTATTACTACAAATACTTAGGTGGGGGGTAGTGTTACGGGCCAGTTGTAGGTTAGTTTAGAATAGGTTAGAATAGTCTAGAACTAGGGGAGAGTGCCTGTGTGAGTGGAGTTCACCTTACTGTGTAGTTACCCTTGTGTGTTTATGTCTTGTGGTCCCAAGGTCGAATGCGGGTATAAAAGGGCGAGTGAACGATTGTGGGGGGCAGTCAGCGGGTTAGTAGCGGTTAGGACGAGGGCTGTTATGGTACGCTTGAATGCATTGAGACAAATAAAAGGAGTGAAGTTATACACGAAGCGTTGTTGATGATTTGAAACGAGCCAGAACGTAACAACACCATTAAGTGCCGCACACTGACGTTGGTAATTATGTCGGTTAAAGCAAAAAAAAATTCTGTGTTAAGCCCCGGATGTAAGGTATAACTAAAAGGTCAATTATAGTAATAGTTCATTAAAATGTATGGTTTTTTTTATTGAGCTCTAAAAATAGATCACCCTTGGTTACGTTTTTTTTTTTTAATATTTTTTTAATATTTTGTTTAAAAAAAGAGGGGTATGGTATTCTTTAAAAAAAATAAACTGTAAGAAAATATGTCAAATTTAGATGCTAACGTATAATGACATTCTGTTTAAAAGAATAACTGGCTATCAGTCTAATCGGAGTTGTTGACACAAATTGGACCAAACACCACAACACAGGACAAACGGCATGTGTTTTTCAAAATGGCGGCATAACCTCGATTATTACTGAAGTTTATTTACTTTTTGTTTTATATTATACATAATTTCATAACTAAAATTGTAAGAAGATGTGAAATAATTAATTTCAAAAGAATACATTTGATCTGGATTTTTATAACTGTGATCACATCGTACAATTTTGAATCAATGTGTGAACTTATAAGATTAACAAGATCAAAACAATGGCGTCAGCGTCACTATCATTCTTCTACTGGACTCTTGTGTGTATCGTGTACTGCGGTAAGTATCGACATCATTATTAGTATCGTCCGTGTCCATATCATTCCTCTACTACACTGTTGTATGTATTGTGTACTGCGGTAAGTATCGACACCATCCTTAGTATCCTTTCTTTCTATCCAAACTATGTAGGGATTGTGGTCTGCGATTTAATTTTTAAATCTTAGTGGTGTTTCATTAACCATTCACTACATTCCCTTTTTATCCAAGACGTATTCTAATGAATTACATAAGCGCTAAGTAAATTCGTTTTTATCGGACGTTAGAGCATACGACTACTAACTCGAAAGTACCGAGTTCAGATCCAGGCTTGAGTCTGTAGTCCCTGAGTCCACTCAGCTCTGATGAGTACCCTGATTGACGTTAGAGAAAGTAAATGCGGCTGGGCATAGTGCGGTCCACACTATCCCTTCATATGCCGAGGTAACTGAAACAGGTGAACTCTACACCACTTGTCGCATGGACTCTCAAGTTCGAAAATAAGCTTTACTTTATTACTACTAAATAAAATCAAACCCTTTTCTGTCAAAACTATTTTTTTTAAATATAAAGCTAGATTTAAAAAATTTCCTGCACGATTTTACTTGTAGTCCCATCCTATCCTATATACTGTTATTTAAAAATATAGGAGACCGTTTAGAGGGAGATCAATCCCGCTTCATTAAAATTGAATAGAATCAAGTTAAAATAAAGCGGGAGTGATCTCCCCTATATTTTCTCGAATATTCTTAGATAACGCTAATGCTGATGGCAACTTAGTGCAGTCGGGATATACTTTGTAAAAAAAAAAATCAGATACTTCAATTGTTTAAATTGAATCGATTCTGGTAGAAAAAAAGAATTGCGCACATGAACATCAAACACTGTGTGTATAATAGTGCGGAACAATAGTACTTTATAAAGAAAGACAGAGGAATAAAGTTAAAAATAAATTCATAAGCGTTTTTGACAAATCGGAAATAGGGTAGAATACCACTTCCGGTGTGGTCTAGCTGTAGAGAGCTGGACTGCTAGCCCGTAAGTCTCGAGTTCGAATCCGGGTTCAAGTCTGTAGACCGTCCCTGAGTCCACCCATCTCTGATGGGTACCTAACTCACGTTATGGAGAGTAAAGGCGGCTGGGCATAGTGCTGACCACACTATCTCTTCATATGCCGAGGTCACAGAAACAAGTGAACTCTACTTCACTTCCCCCATAGACTGTCAGGTTTGAAAGGGAAACTTTACTTTTTTTACCACTTCCGGTCACCGGAAATTACTCTAATTTGGATAGAAAACAGAAAATTAAATCTTCTACAAATGTGTGAAATGTCTTGGGAAATCGAAAGTAGAATACGTTCCACCAGCCGACCACACACGGTCATGTCGGGCACTGTCGCAGTTGCGAAGAGCACGGATCCTAGCCTCACATAGAGGCTTCACCGATACTAGCTTCTGGTGTATTCCTAACCGTGGTGGGCCTAGGCTTTCTTCCCCTCCAGTGCAGCGCACTACCCGCCCTGGGAGTTGTTTCCTTGCCCGTCCGCGCCCCAAACACTAGGGCGTGGTGTCACGGTACGGGGTCCTGGCGTCCATGGGCGCCTAAAAGTCGCAGAGCTGCAATGCTTTGTACTTCCTATTAAAGTGTCTATCCTGAATTGAAAGATTCGACGTCATGGTGAATATCACTAAGAAACTAAACGTGTTAAATTTACAACAGCAAGGAAAATGAAAACCCAGTTTATGCCTTGCTTGAAGAAGTGGATTGTTTCGTAAAGACACGGGGAGAAATAAAATACTTAATTTTAAAAAATCTGAAAACAAAAGACGTGGTGAAACTAATGCTACTATTAACCTATGAAACACTTCAGCATTACTATAAACAAAATGAAGGATGTTTTCACTGAGAGATTTGAGCAATTCAAAAAATGCAAGTACTTTGACGTTAATAGTAGATCCTCTCAACACAAAAAAATTAGATCAACATTAAGTTTTTGGGATTGAGGCTGGCTCGCTTCACATGAAAATGCTAGATTTGAAAAAAAAAACACTTCTGGAGCGGTATATTCACAGAACTCAAGAGCAAGTTGGAGGTTAAGAAAAGCATGCAAGTTACACTTTACAAGTACACGGCTCTAAAAAAAAAAGGCCGCGAGTTGAGGCACTCATATGTGACACATTGATCAAATTTCCAGAATGCTACAGTAAGGTGAAGAAGTTGACATCTGGAGTGCTGACGACCTTTAAGTCAACATATTCTTGCTAACAAGAGTTCTCTTACATTAATATAATAAAAAGTTTAAGTGAGAAGTCAACTAACAAACAAAAACTAGAGGCGTGCTTGAAACTGAAAACAACAAATGTTGATGCAGATTTCAACAAACTTTCAAACGACACACAAAGTCAATGCTCCTATTGATATAACTAATGTAAATATTCAATGATTATAGCTATATTATTTGATTTCTAATTTTACTATTCTAGCAGAGCCAGCTAAAATATTTTAATATGTTTTGTGCGAAACATCTGTGTTTTTATATGAATAAATATTATTTTGATATTTAAAACTATATATATATATATATATATATATATATATATATATATATATATATATATATATATATATATATATATATATATATATATATGACAGTAAAAGGGGTGAAGGTCAAATGAAAGTGTCAGAAGTCTGGGTGGGGAGAGGAAAGGAAATTAAATTTTCCAGAGAGGGTCAATGGGACAGTGAAGCATTTTCTATGTAGCGAAACAAGTTGACTAGTTGAAAGGGTGTTTTAGTGGTCGCATTGAGTTTTCAAAAGGTTGCAGTGTGAAAGATGAGGGGAAAGAGACAAGATTTAGAACTTTAAATAAGTTCTGGATATTGATGTTGCAGTGGGTGGTGGGGTCGTTGAAACAGTTAAAGGGATTGTGGGGTTATCATGTCTGAGGGTAAAGTGGATAGAGGGGGAGAGAGGAGGGGGTTGATTTTTTTTTATTTTTATTTTTATTAATTCAATTGTTTTAAACATTTAAATCAGTAATAATAATATATTTGATAGATTTTACACAGCATCAAAGACATGAACAATGAACATCAATTGCATATATAATAATCAAAGGGAAAAAATAAAATGGCATAAGAACTAGATTAAAATAAGGTGTGCAAACTAGGTTTCTCTTCACTGCTTAGTTTAGTGTGCTGCGGAGTCAAAAGTTCACACTGTAGCCACCCATGGACAGAAATAGAAACGACCGTGGGAGAAGTGTCTCTGTAATCACATACTGATCTATCATTCCAAAACTTTCCATGACATAAAATTGACCCTTGGCAATGAGGGCACGCTACCTTGAAATGTCCGCCAGTCCGGTTGAGTGGGGGGGGGGGGGGGGGGGGGGAGTGTGTGTTTGTGTGTTGGGGGGGGGGGGGGGGTTGAGGTGGGTATCTCTTTCTACCATTCAGGTTGTGCATTTTAAAATCTGGGAAACAGAAGACTGTTCTAATGTTAATTTACTTGGGGACTGATCGAGTGATGTTTGGCTTGAGACTGTCTAAATTAAAATTAATACTTTATTTATTTCTTTCCTGTATATTTCTTTTTTTCTCAGTTAAGTGAGAGTTCCCAGTCTATGTCTTAGCTTTGCTTGAAATATTTCTTTTAACTCGATGTCCGTGTATTTTGTGAAAAAAATATCTGACTTTATTCCTAATTTACCATATAGTCGATCTATAAATAGCCGTTGCTACTAGTCTGTTTTCGTCTTCTGTTCTTTGTCTAGTCGCGTTAATTAAATTAAGTCTGATTGCTTTATTTGTTGTGGCTATTTGATTGGTGGTGTTTAATATTTTCGCAAGTGTTTGCTTTGCTTTCTGTACTAATATACAATCTAAATTGTTTACAATTTTTTTTTTTTTTTTTTTTTTTGGTGGTTTAATTAAAATAATTTTATTTAAAAAATCTGCAAAGTTTTAGAAGAAATTACTATGAAGTGGGGTTTTCAGAATATTGATTACTGAGTTCCTGTACTGACATTAATGTTTGTCTTATGAAAGTGAAACTTCAGGTTATAACTTAGGCTAGTTGAAAATAAATAAAAATGTAGCCTTAAACTCAAAAGTTTTCAAGTTCTCTGGATTTACAACTTTTATACCACTGATTCTAAAAATATTAAATTTCTGTATTATTTTCAGGTTTAAGTATTAAATTGTTTACGAAAATTGGAGATTAGACACTTGTAGAGCAATGGTAGAGATTGATTGATTGTGAAACCTTTACACCTTAATAAATTAAGTGATGAAAAAAGCTATTGGTTTTTATTTAAATTATTGTCAAATAATAGTATATTAATCCATTTCTTTTTTACAAATTACGTATATAATCATAAATAATTTTAATGGCTTTATGTAGCATATAATCAACAATGATTATTGTCCTATTATTTGTTACTGTTAAAATCTTCTACATTTTAAAGACTTTAGTGAGCATAGTTAATGTGTTGTCTCCCTTAACTGGTTGAATCTATAACATAAAGCTTAGTGAATAAAATAAAAAATATAACTTCTACTCCTGGAATAATGTTACACTTGGGGGCAGGGGTGCTTGATGGAGAAAAAAATGCACAATAACAATTTCAATCTGGTTGGGGGGGGGGGGTGTCTTTAAAATTACCCAGGCCTCTCACAAGAGGCGTAGCGAGGGGGGGGCGGGGAGGGGTGCGGACCGCACCGGGTGACACCATTTAGGGAGGTGACACCAAGGCAAAAAATAGCAAAATATATAGAGAAAAATGACAATTCCACTTAATTGTGATTAATTCAATTGGGGGAAAGAAACCACAACCGGAAATTTCGCTACACCCAAAAGAAATAAAAAGAATTATAAAAAACAAACAAACGCAAATGTGGTCTGTCACGCACCCTCACTACACTAAAGACGACGGCTATTACATTTTAACACGAAAACAACAATACATAATCTTTCGACTTAGAACAGGCCACAACAGACTAAATCAACACATGCACAGAAAACTGAAGGTTGGGTGTAGCGAAATGTGCCCTTGTGGCAAGGCCCCGGAAAACACGGAGCACGTACTCCAGGAATGCACTTTGTATAGCCAGGCACGAGACAGACACTGGCCCCAGCCCACCCCACTCAGGGAAAAATTATATGGGGCACCTGACAAACTGGAGACCACAGTCCGGTTTGTCCACGAAGTTGGACTTGTTGTCTGAATCCTCCACCATATTCACAATTAAGAACGAAGAAGAAGAAGAAGTGATTAATTCGAGTGTTAAATAGTCTTTTAAGAGGTGCAAATCGAAAGTTTGAGGGGGGGGGGGAGGGGGCGGGGTGGATGGGGGGTGCAAATCGAAAGTTTGAGGGGGGTGCAAATCGAAAATTGAAAGTTTTCCTCCAGGAACAGTCGCTGCGCCTTTGGGGGGGGGGGGGGGGGGTGACACCATTAAGTGCCGCACCGGGTGACACCCGACCACGCTACGCCACTGCCTCTCACACAGCCAGTTTAACCCCGCTTGGTGGACTTGAGTAACTTTGACCTTGACCTTCCTCAGTGTCGGCCCAGGACCCGGAGATCGTCAACGACATCTTCCCTGAGGTCAAGCAAGTCGGGATGACAGCCCGGCTTAACTGTACAGTCGCCAGGCTGGGGAATAACGCAGTAAGTAGTTGGTCAAGCATAGGCTGGGGGAGTAACTCATCTTAGCTTATTATGTTCGGTATTTATTCGTTTGTCTCCCTTTTTTTTAAAAATTTCATCCTGGGGAGTAACGCTGTGAGTAGTAGGTCAGGCTGGGGGAGTAAATCATCTTAGCTTATTATGTTCGGTATTTATTATTACGCTGTAAGTAGTAGGTCAGGTTAGGGAGTAACGCTGTAAGTAGTAGGTCAGGTTAGGGAGTAATGCTATAAGTAGTAGGTCAGGTTAGGGAGTAACGCTGTAAGTAGTAGGTCAGGGAGTAACGCTGTAAGTAGGTCAGGTTGGGGAGTAACGCTGTAAGTAGGTCAGGTTAGGGAGTAACGATGTAAGTAGGTCAAGTTAGGGAGTAACGCTGTAAGTAGGTCAGGTTAGGGGGTAACGCTCTAAGTAGGTCAGGTTAGGGAGTAACGCTGTAAGTAGTAGGTCAGGTTAGGGAGTAACGCTGTAAGTAGTAGGTCAGGTTAGGGAGTAACGCTGTAAGTAGTAGGTCAGGTTAGGGAGTAACGCTGTAAGTAGTAGGTCAGGGAGTAACGCTGTAAGTAGGTCAGGTTGGGGAGTAACGCTGTAAGTAGGTCAGGTTAGGGAGTAACGCTGTAAGTAGATCAGGTTAGGGAGTAACGATGTAAGTAGGTCAGGTTCGGGAGTAACGCTGTAAGTAGGTCAGGTCAGGGAGTAACGCTGTAGTAGTTCAGGTTAGGGAGTAACGCTGTACGTAGGTCAGGGAGTAACGCTGTAAGTAGGTCAGGTTAGGGAGTAACGCTGTAAGTAGTAGGTCAAGGCTAGAGAGTAACGCTGTAAGTAGGTCAGGTTAGGGAGTAACGCCGTAAGTAGGTCAGGTTAGGGAGTAACGCTGTAAGTATTAGGTCAAGGCTAGGGAGTAACGCTGTAAGTAGTAGGTCAGGCTTGGGAGTAGCGCTGTAAGTAGTAGGTCAGGTTAGGGAGTAACGCAGTAAGTAGGTCAGGTTAGGGAGTAACGCTGTAAGTAGTAGGTCAGGTTAGGGAGTAACGCAGTAAGTAGGTCAGGTTAGGGAGTAACGCTGTAAGTAGTTCAGGTTAGGGATTAACACTGTAAGTAGGTCAGGTTTGGGAGTAACGCTGAAAGTAGGTCAGTCCGGGGAGTAACGCTGTAAGTAGGCCAGGTTAGGGAGTAACGCTGTAGGTAATAGGTCAGGTTAGGTAGTAACGCTGTAAGTAGATCAGGTTAGGGAGTAACGATGTAAGTAGGTCAGGTTCGGGAGTAACGCTGTAAGTAGGTCAGGTCAGGGAGTAACGCTGTAGTAGTTCAGGTTAGGGAGTAACGCTGTACGTAGGTCAGGGAGTAACGCTGTAAGTAGGTCAGGTTAGGGAGTAACGCTGTAAGTAGTAGGTCAAGGCTAGAGAGTAACGCTGTAAGTAGGTCAGGTTAGGGAGTAACGCCGTAAGTAGGTCAGGTTAGGGAGTAACGCCGTAAGTAGGTCAGGTTAGGGAGTAACGCTGTAAGTATTAGGTCAAGGCTAGGGAGTAACGCTGTAAGTAGTAGGTCAGGCTTGGGAGTAGCGCTGTAAGTAGTAGGTCAGGTTAGGGAGTAACGCAGTAAGTAGGTCAGGTTAGGGAGTAACGCTGTAAGTAGTAGGTCAGGTTAGGGAGTAACGCAGTAAGTAGGTCAGGTTAGGGAGTAACGCTGTAAGTAGTTCAGGTTAGGGACTAACACTGTAAGTAGGTCAGGTTTGGGAGTAACGCTGAAAGTAGGTCAGTCCGGGGAGTAACGCTGTAAGTAGGCCAGGTTAGGGAGTAACGCTGTAAGTAGGTCAGGTTAGGGAGTAACGCTGTAGGTAATAGGTCAGGTTAGGTAGTAACGCTGTAAGTAGATCAGGTCAGGGAGTAACGCAGTAAGTAGGTCAGGTTAGGGAGTAACGCAGTAAGTAGGTCAGGTTAGGGAGTAACGCTGTAAGTAGGTCAGGTTAGGGAGTAACGCTGTAAGTAGGTCAGGTTAGGGAGTAACGCTGTAAGTAGGTCAGGTTAGGGAGTAACGCTGTAAGTAGGTCAGGTTAGGGAGTAACGCTGAAAGTAGGTCAGACTATGGAGTAACGCTGTAAGTAGGTCAGGTTAGGGAGTAACGCTGTAAGTAGGTCAGGTTGGGGAGTAACGCTGTAAGTAGGTCAGGTTAGGGAGTAACGCTGTAAGTAGGTCAGGTTGGGGAGTAACGCTGTAAGTAACAGTGGGAGGGGGAGGGGAAGGGCTGGAAGAAATACTGTTAATTCCACACTATTAGCAAAGCCTAACTGCGATCGGGATTTTTAAAAATCACTTAAATGTTAAAATATGAAAATATGAAAAACTATTTATTTCCCTTTAATTCACTCATCGTAGCTTTGTTACGTTAGGTATTTATTTCGTTGTCTTGTTTTCTATTTTAAATGTGGGGGGGGGGGAGGTGATGGATGTGCTCATGGGAAGGGGGTGGGGTGGAGATTATATGTTACATTAGTAACACAACCTATCTGCGACATGAATTTAAATAATGTTATAATATAAAATAAACCGGTAGTGATCTCCCCTAAACTTTCTCGAATATTCTTATATAAAACAACAGGGGATGGTAACTGGGGATATAGTTATGATCTTTAATCCATTTTAAATACTGAAACTTTTAAAAATAGAATAGAATCTCAGTAAAAAACAATTGCGCACCAAGCGAACGCCTAATAAAGGTGTGTATAATAGTGCGCAATAGTATTAGTACTTTATAAATTTACATTAGTTTTTTGAGAAATCGGAAGTAGCGTAAAGTACTACTTCCGGTCAACGGAAATTACTCAAAATTTAACAGAAGGTAGAGAATTAGATCTTTTACTTACATGTGAAATTTCATTTATCTATCTGAAATAGTACTCAAGTTATAGGCTTTTGAAAAATTCAAAGTAGAAAAAGTACCACTTCCGGTTATCCGAAATCGCTCAAAAGTTGATACGGATCTACGATTTTGATATAATACTTGTATATGAAATTTCATCAACCTAGCTGTAACGGTACTCAAGTTATCGTGTTTACACACGGACACACACACACACACACACACACGGACACACAGACATACGGACAAGATTGCAAAATTATGTTTTTCCGTATCAGTGAGATGTAAAACGTCGAGATTTGCAAAAATCTCGATTTTTTTTTTTTGCACGATTACAAGACTTTCTCTATACTTCGTATATACGAGAAAGTAAAAAACAGTTATTTATTTCCCTTAAGTCACTCTTCTTAGCACTCATGTTCAGTATTTTTTCTTTGTCTCTCTGAGACTCTGAGTTATGATTTGAAAATCTATTTTATTTACTTCCCTTTAGTTAACTCTTCCTAGCTTAGTTCTGTTCGGTATTTACTTCGTTGTCTCCCTTAGAGTTACAAAATACCGAAATCACCTTGTTATTTAGACCGATGTTTCACGTTGCACAGGTCCAGTGGTCCTTCTCCGGTCAGGGTTTGAACCAAATACTGAGCCGGAATGAGGAGATAATCATCAACAACCCTCGGAAGGGTAACGTCCCCATCTACGAGATTATCAAGGACAGCAGTTATGACCGTGTCACTTTCACTCTCGTCATCAACCGGCTGATGCCGGAATATTCCGGCAGCTACCAGTGTTCTATCATCATTCACAATAAGCCGTACGACCATTTGAACAACAAGACCGGTTACGTCACCGTGTTACGTAAGTTTTTATTTGATTCATCCTTTGGCCAGATTTTTTAACTTGGACGTCTTTGAATTTGAAAAGGTTTGGTTTGAATTCAGTGTCCATAAATCACCCATTAACCCCATCTGTCTTACCACACACCATTTAACCTCCCTAGAGATTCTCCTTTGTAAAATCCCCATGTAAATTCTCAATTAATCCTTCGCTGAGATTATCCTAACAATCCACCCACGTCACCACACCTCCCCCCCCTATAAAATCTCCCATACACCCAAATCTCCCTACACAATTCCTAATAAACTCCTTATACAATCTCCCTGTAAAAGTCTACAGAATTCCCAATTCTCTGTATAATCTTTTTTAAAATCTCCTTAAATGTCTTATATTTAAAATAACCTTATAATCTATAAAATGTATGTCATAAATCTGTCTGTAAAGTCTCCCTATATAATCTACCTGTTAAATATCCCTATAATATCCTCGTATAAAATCTCTCTATTACATCCCTTTGTAAAACCTCCATATACAACCGCTATAAAATTTCCCTATAAAACCATAAAAACCCCTATAATACCTCCCTATTAAATCTCCCTATGAAATCTCCTTTTAAAACCTCCCTATAAAAACCTCCCTATAAAAATATCCCTATAAAATCTCCCTATAAAATCTCACTATAAAACCACCGTATAAAATCTCCTTATAAGACCTCCCTATAAAATCTCCCTATAAAAACCTCCCTATAAAATCTCCCTATAAAATCTCCTTATAAGACCTCCTTATAAAATCTCCCTATAAAATCTCCCTATAAAATATGTTCCTATATCTCCCTACTAAACCTCCCCACAAAATCTCCCCACAGAGCCACCTATGATAAGACCAGGATCTACCGACGCTGTCAAGATGATCGAGAAGGGCGGCAACTCGAGTATTACATGCGATGCTTTCGGAGTTCCCTTCCCTAACATCACGTGGGTCCGCTCTGACGGCAAGCTCTTGCCCAACGGCAAGGCAATTTTCAGGGTATTACATCTAGACGTTTCTCTATCCTAAAATCCCTCCTACCCCCCTCCCCTTCTTATTTTTTTATAAAAATAAAAACTTTAAAATTATACTATATTTAATTTAATTTTAACTATTTTATTAATTTTAAGATATTGCATATGCTCCCGCTATTGGCTTTATTATGTGAATACACCTCACAAAAAATGTCAGACTAGGTAGTAAAAAAGTTGTAAATAACAGGTCAGGGTAGATCAAGCTAAGTCAGGCTAGGTCAGCCTAGGTCAGGTTAGGTGTGGTAAGGTCAGGCTAGGTTAGGCTAAGTCAAGCTAGGTTAGGCTAAGTCTATGTCAGGTTAAGTCAGGCTAAGTCAGGCTAAGTCAGGTTAGGTCTGACTGTGCTTTAAATAAATAATAACGTGTGTTTATTGTGTTTAAAAAAGAGGATCCTGATTGCGTTTATCCTATGTTTACCTATTCAAAGTTTTGTTATATTTCCCTTATACTATGACCGCCGATTCATCGTAGCGGAAAAGTACACTGAAAGTCACAACTATAAGAGTGTGTTACTTATCTAGTTAGATCATGTTTGGTGATTAATTATGCATCTGGTTATAGTTGGGGTTTGATGGTTGGGTCAAGAGTGTGAAAGGCTGAGTAGTACTCACACGGGATGCCTTTCTAAGTTGGGTGGTGGTGTTGTTTGTCTTTAATAAATAGAATTGACCTTGAGACTGATCTTGTGGTTGTCACTAACCTTTCTAATAACCTTGATAATTGACCTTGCGATTGTCACGGAACTTGATATTGTTCTTAATATTGACCTTATGATTTCCAACAATCTTGATATTGATCTTGATATTTGCCTTTGTAATTTTATGGACATGGATAATGACGTGAGTTTCACGGATCTTGATAGTCACTTTGATTTTGACCTTGATATCGACTTTGTTATTGAACTTATGATTCTCAGCTATTTTGATATTGCCCTTTGTAATTTTATTGACCTTGTTATTGGCCTTGTTATTTTCACTGACCTTGATCTTGACCTTGATGTCGACAGGGCAGGACGCTGCCGATCATGTCAGCAGACGTGAGGTACTCAGGTGTGTACAGGTGTGTGGCAGACAACAGCATCAAGCCACCTGCCGAGTCACTGACACAGGTAGGTGGGGGCGGGGGGGGGGGGGGTCAACACACGGTTGCCATGGTAACAAAACAATTTCTTTTTCCCGTTTTTTTTTTCTAAAATTTCTGCTTAAGATGTAGTTAGGCTTAGTTTCTAATAGATATTTTTATGATGTAGGAATACTCGATTTAAATAAAAAAAAATATGTGTATACGTCACAGGTTTATGTGTTCCAAGCGCCAACGGTCCGAGTTCTACAAAATTCTGTTGGTCAGTTCGCGAATGGTAGGCTGGACGCTAAACTGGATTGTATTGTTCAAGGTATGTTAATCTTGCTAAATCTTGATTGCTAAATTCTTATGTTTTATTTTCTAAATCTTGCTTATCAATGTAGCTTTGAGTTATTCAATGTAAATGGGATTTGATTTTAAAAATGGTCAAAGTTAAAAGAAAGTAAAGATCCCTTTTTGAAGCTGATGGTACATGGGGCAGGTGAAGTAGAGTTCACCTGTTTTTGTGGCCTGGGCAAATGAAGGGATAGTGTCGTCTGTGGTCAGCCACCTTTATTTTCCCTTAAGTGAGTTAGGTACTCATCCTTGGTCTCAGAGTAGTGTTTTAAATCCATGACCTGGATTTATAATTGAATTAGTCTGAAATATAGAAGTATTTATACAATGTTAATCACAAGCATACAGGTTGACTATTTTATTGCAGCTGCTTTCCATACGTGTGTTGTCTCAAGACTGTCTTATTGCTGTATTTATATATATATATATATATATATATATATATATATATATATATATATATATATATATACATATATATATACATATATATATATGTGTGTGTGTGTGTATGTGTGTATAACGACCTGCATAGACCTATAATTTAAATATATGCCACATACGCGTACATGTATGTTTATAAGATTTAATCACTGCAGACTTAATATTAACTGTATTTATCTATAGTCTGTTAATAATATAAGTGGATGTAGCATTGTTATCTCTAAAGTTAACACGTTTGCCACCCCCACCCCCTAGTTATAATTGTTGATTTGTACTTTAAAGACTATTTAACTTTAATTCTTAACTGAACTGGCAAAAAAGCAGTTTTCTTATGTAAATATTGCAATTTTTCGCCTTTTTGTAACCCCCTTTAATGGTGTCACCCGGTGCGGTCCGCACCCTTCGCCCCACCCTCGCTACGCCTCTGCCTTGCTGTACTATCGCTGTGATCTAATCATGCTGCTGTCCCCAGGTTACCCCACCCCCACTGTCTACTGGATGGTGGTCAATGAACAAGAACACATCATCCTCAAAAACAGCGACAAATACGAAACAACGAAACAGGTCAGAGGTCATTCTATAATTAGATTCCCCTTTTGAACACGTCTCTAACTCACGTTAACGAATCCCTAATACTGATTCGAATTACATCTTAAAATCTGTTTGTGTGATTCCATTGTAGGGTGTTAAAGTTCTGAGGTCATTGTATAATTAGATTCCCCTTTTGAGTTTTTGAACACGTGTCTAATTCACGTTAACGATTCCTTACAGCTGATTCAAATTACATCCTAAAACCTATTTGTGGGATTGCATGGTTGGGTGGTAAAAGCCACGACTGCTAACCCGATAGTCTCGAGTTCGGATCCAGAGCTCGTTTCTATAGAACGAGCTTTGAATCCACCCAGCTTTGATGGGTACCATACTCACGTCAAGGAAAGTAAAGGAGGCTGGGCATAGTGCTGACCACAATATCCCTTCTCTATGCCAACACCACAGAAACAGGTGAAATCTACTTCATCTGCTCCATCTGAACTCCAACAAGATCCTATTCTCACACGTTACATCCTTACGTACCTCACCACACAATCGCAATATTTTATCATTATGAATCTTTCCACAACACATACTCTCATACCCTCGCAATCAGAGTTTCTCCGACCTCCCCCCCCCCTGAACGAAATGGAATTTATATAGAAAAAAAATATTTTTATCAGAGTCGCCCCCCCCCCCCCCGAAAATTTCAAGCCCCCCCCCCCCCTCCCCCAGGAGAAAAAAGTCCGGAAGAAACACTGCTCGCAATACCTAAGAAACCATTCCTAACACCTTCGTATGTCGATATCTTGGAAAAAAGTTTCCTCTAATTCATTTGCTCCATTAAACTTCCAGGGCCTATAAGGATAAACGTTTTCCTTTCCTTAAGCTAGATTTGTAAAGCGTGCATGCTGTTCTAATTTTTCCATAGGCAACCACGTTATTGAAACAAACAAATAGAGATTAAAAAAATGTATGTGATATTGAAAGTTTAAAATTTAGTTCAATGGCCTTAATCCCATTTTTCTGACGTCACCCCCCCCCCCCCTCCCACAGGCGACCGACACCCAGAACCTGTTCAACGGTGAACAGTGGTACTCACTCAAGGTGCGGTACGTGCAGGCTCTCGACTTCCGGGACTACTACTGCGTGGGCGTCAACAGCAAAGGTCAAGGCAACGCCACGGTGACCTTGTTCTGTGAGTGACCTGATGGGGACCTTGACCTTTTCCGTTAGTGGGTACCGGGTGGTTATATTGTGGTGGATGCTTGTTGGAATATTTGCTGATATGTGATGGAGTGGTTGGGGGGGGGGGGGGGGGGTAGAGCACACGGATGCTAAGTTGGAAGTTCGGATTTCGGAGTCGAGCCCAAAAGACGCCCCTGAGTTCGCCCAGCATGGATGGGTACCTGCAGAGGCGTAGCGAGGGGGGGGGGGGGCGGGGGGTGCGGACCGCACCGGGTGACACCATTTAGGGGGGTGACACCAAGGCAAAAAATAGCAAAATATATAGAGAAAAACTTGAGGGGGGGGTGCAAATCGAAAATTTGAAAGTTAGTCCGCTCTGGGGGGTGACACCATTAAGTGCCGCACCGGGTGACACCCGACCTCACTGGGTACCTGACTAACGTTAGGGAAATTTACAGAAGCGAGTACTATCATTTTCATTGTGTTTTAGGGTTGTGACTTAGGTATATAGGTAAGGGTTAGCTTATATTATGGGGGACAGTGTGGTCTAAACCGAAAGTCTCGAGTTCGAATCCGGGTTCAGGTCAGTATAACTTCCCTGAGCCCATACAGATCTGATGAGTACCCAACTCACGCTAGGAAAAGTTTCTGAAACAGATGAACTCTACTTCATCAGCACCGTGTGTCTTAAGAACAAACGGGAAAAGATTCTCGTTACAAGCTCGGGTGTTAGAAATAAAGCTAAAATGCTATTGTTAAAGTGTTAGGGTATGATGGTTATGGATAAGTTGATAGGTTGATATGGTAGGTAATTGTGTGAGGTTCAGAGTTGGGGTTTAAGCTAAAGGAGATAAGCTTTATTGCTATGCTGAAAGGCCATTGCTTAAACTTTAATGTTCACACATTTTAAATATAATAACATACCCTTACAAAAACAAAAAAAAAACAATTATAAAACTATAGTTATATATCTTTTAAAATAAATAGCAAATGTTCTAATGTTATGGTTTTTATATGTATAAATAAATTATATATATATATATATATATATATATATATATATATATATATATATATATATATATATATATATATAATTTCTTTCTTCCAGCGACTTGGGACTGTCAAGGCCCGCTATGCTACTCTCTTGAAGCGTCCGGACGAGGAGGTGCAAATCTTTTGCAGTTATTTCCCTTGCGCCTGTTGCTTATTGCTGTGTTTGTCGTTGTTTTGAATTAATAAGAGTTTTTATAATGACTGAACGTAAATGTAAATAATGCGACATTTTAACAGTAGTATTTTTTTTATTTTCAACATATTCAATAATTTGCAGGGGGTCGGCGTGGTCGAGTCGGTAAAGCTCATGGTTGCTAAACCGAAAAGTCTCGAGTTCGAACCCTCGGGCAGATGAGGCTCGTTAGCTGGGGACAGCCACTCTTCTAGGAGAGACAACACCAAAATTAAACAACTGCTGCCTTGTAGTTTGTTCTTGGTTGGACAAAGGCTATGGAAGCAAATCCAAAAAAAAAAGCAGGCTGAAATCGGAGTCAATGGCCTCAATGGCGCATAACCAGTTGACACGTAACGCTTAATTGTGTTGGAGGCGTGGTCGAGTCGGCAAAAAGCTCATGGTTGATAAATTCGAACAAAGTCTCGAGTTCAAACCCACTGGCAGATAAATCTCGATCCCCTTCAACACTAATAATTAAGAACGAAGAAGAAGAAGAAGAAGAATAATTTGCAAAGCATGTATAAACATTGACATAAAGTGTCATAATTACATTTTTACAAAAATTAATAATCTTAAGACTGTGTTTATGTGTGTATGTATGTGTGTGTGAAGTCTGTTTGTCAACTTGCTATGTACTCGTATGTCGATGTCAAAAAAAAATGTGAACTCTACTTCATCTACTCTAAAAATCGTTTGGTTTGAAAGGGAAAAGTTTACTTTTATGTTGATTGGAGAAGTAAAATTAAGTATCAAATATTTAAGTAAGTTTTGATTTAAGACAGAGTAGGGTTAAGGTTAGGGTTAGTGTTAGTGTTCGGGTTATGGTTAGGTTTAGGTTTAGGTTTAGGGTTAGGGTTATGTGTTAGCGTTAGGTTTCAGGACACACGAGGTAGTTCATCTATAGCACACAGGACACACGAGGTAGTTCATTTATAGCACACATGGCACACGATGTAGTTCATCTATAGCACACATAGCACTCAGAGTACAAGAAGTAGTTTACCTATGCCCTAAAGGGCAGAACATCTGGTCCATAACCTATCGGACAGGTGGAAGTAAACTCATCTGATTTTTAACAACCACATCCCCCTTATCTGTTTTTTCTACCCAACACATGCCGGGTACTTATTAAACCTGTGTGAGCTCAAAGACGCACATCATCGTACAAGGAATAACCGAACCCCGACTGATCACGTGTCTGGCCACCAGAGTTTCTTCCAGGCATCTCTTCTACCGCCCCCCCCCCCCCGAAGAAAATGACAAAATGGAATTTATATAGAAAATATATACTTTTGACAGTGTCCGCCCCCCACCCCACCCCGCGGAAATTGTTGTGTCGTCGTCGTCGTCGTCGTCCCCCCCCCCCCCCCCAGGAGAAAAAAGTCTGGAAGAAACACTGCTGGCCACCCACCTTCCATGCATACCACCAGTGGCGTAGGCAGGGGGGGTTAGGGGGGTCATAACCCCCCTCATAGACCCCTCGGTATATATAAAAAGTATGAGGGGGGGGTGCAAATCGAAAGTTTGAGGGGGGGGGTGCAAATCGAAAGTTTGTCCCCGGGTAAAAATTGGAACCCCCCCCCCCCTTGAGACGATCCTGGCTACGCCACTGCATACCACAAAATACCACCCGCTGTGGTTACCCCTGATATAATATGTAATCCACCTAGATCCTAGGTGACTTGATATATAATTATATATTTAGTGACACTCAGCGAGTTGACCGGAAGTGACAACAGAACTGACCTGTGGTAGTCAGAGGTCGGAGGTCAGGACGCTAACAATGTTAGCAGACGTGGGGAGGTGGGGAAAATCTAATCGTCAGTAGCGGAGTTCCATTGATTTCTACTTTCTGTATGTCATTTGAAAGGGGGGGGGGGGGGGGGGCAACGCCTCTGTCAACGCCGGCTGAGTCCCAAGGGTCAAAGGTCATTGTGCTTTACCGTTATGTTAAGCTTTAGTTTGGGTTTTGCTGTACATAAAGATGCTGATATAATAGGTTTCGTTGTTAAGGTTATAAGGGTCTTGGTAACGATAACTATATAAGTAAATATATATATATATATATATATATATATATATATATATATATATATATATATATATATATATATATATATATATACATATATATATATATATATATATATATATATATATATATATATATATATATATATATATATATATATATATATATATATACATACTTTACTAAATGCTGTTGGAGTTTTATACTTTATGATTTACTTGTTTCGCTTCATCAAAATACTGGTAAAAATTGTAACTGGCAAGCTATTTCATTTTACAATTTAGTCACACAAAAAAATATTGGTATGCTATTATTTTATTGTCTATTCTAGATTTAAAAAATTGATTTTAATCAAGATTTTGTGAAAAAAATTGGTAGGCTATTTAAATCTAGATTTTAGTTTTAAAAATTGTAGGCTTTTTACTTTGGATTTTAATTTAAAAAAAAACAAAACTGGCAGGGTATTTTATTCTACATTTTAGTCATAATAATAGGTAGGATATTTTACTCTACATTTAGTAAAATAAAACTGTGTAGGCTGTTTTATAATATATTTTAGTCGTATTATTGGTAGGCTATTTTATCTAAGTTTTAATTAAAAAAAAGAACAAAGTTTTGTTAATCAAAAAGAACAACTTCACAAGCACAATCAAAACAAAGCAAATTAATATTTAACGTCTGCTAGCTTGCATCCACTCCTCCCCATTCTCCTTCGACTAGTTAGAACCGGCGCGAAGTCGTCCTCGGCCTAGCAGCCGGCCCACTCAACGGCGCGCGCGTATGTTCTAAAAATAGACCAAAACCAGCTGATACAAACAGCTGACTTGGTGTCCCCCATTACCTTCATCATCCACTGCTGTGTTTACAATTTTTTTCTTTGTGCTTCGTTCAGTCTGGATCTAGATACTGTACTGTGTGCTTATACAAACATAACACACTGAACGATTATATAAATAGATTGATTCTTGTGTTCAAAGAATGACCTAGTTTCGTGGTTTAAAAAAACAAACACAAAGCGATGCGGTTTCTTTGTTGTGGGTTTCAGATTTTAAAATCGTGTTTTCATCAACAGTGCTACAAAACTTAAAAGGTTGGTTTTTGTTTTTGTTTCTTGTAATTAAATTTCTCTGGAGTGGGATTGTTGTGTGTGGAGGTTTTTCGTCGCACGATGACCAACGGTGGGCGGCACAATCAGGTAAAGTGGGTGAAGAAATGTTCTGCAGTATCGATCTCAGAGTTCGATCAGACGCTGCTGCCAGAACTGGGGATGAAACGTGCTCACGGTACACAACAGCTACACACTGTGTCGGTGTAGGCCTAGAGGGAAACTAAGGACATCTTCGTAGTATATGCATGACTATATATATATAGTTTGTATACACACATAGGCATATATAATATAATGCCTATATATATACATATATATAGGCCTAGGCATATTATAAATATATATATATATATATATATATATATATATATATATGAGACAACTTATTTTGCTTATAAGATTTGGTTGTATACTGACATTTAAATATAGTGTTCGAACTCTCTGAATGTTTAATTGAAGCTCCATTTTTTTAAGCTTAATTTTGGCTTCGGACTAAGATTGAGTTCGGGAGTGGGGTGGGAACAGAAATGTTGAGACGACTAATAAAATGTGTACAACAATAGTTGTTCAGTGCTCACCACAACTAGTGTATGACCTGTAGATTTAGTCGAGTAGTGATATACTGACCATGGCATTCCACTGCATCCAATCTATTGTTCTCCTCAAGGCGATTTTTAGGCCTGAATTTCCCAGGTGTGCTGACTGGACATTATATAATGTGTGGACTATGGCTTATCTCTCCTAGATTAGGCCAGTGACGTTTCCCCAGGTCTTAAGATTAGAACATACCTTGGCTGATCTAACTCTAGCACCTCCACTCCCCCATGTGTACTAGCACCCCCTCCTCATGTGTACCAACTATAGCACCTCCCGCCTAGGTGTACTAGCACCTTCCCCCCAGGTGTGCCAACTCTAGCACCCCCAGATGTACTCTAGCAAAATTCCCCCCCCCAGGTGTACCAACTTTAGCACCCCCAGGTGTAGTAGCACCCCCACAGGTGTACCAACTCTAGCACCAACCCCCCCCCCCCCCCGCCCCAGGTGTCCCACCTCTAGCACCCCCCTCCCCGGTGCCCCACTCTAGCACCCCCCCCCGGTGTCCCACCTCTAGCACCCCCCCCCCCCCGGTGTCCCACCTCTAGCACCCCCCCCCGGTGCCCCACCTCTAGCACCCCCCAGGTGCCCCACCTCTAGCTACCCCCCAGTGCCCCACCTCTAGCACCCCCCAGGTGCCCCACCTCTAGCACCCCCCCGTGTCCCACCTCTAGCACCCCCCAGGTGCCCCACCCCACCCCCCCCCCCCGATGCCCCACCTCTAGCACCTATCTACCAACCAGACCCTGTTATCTGACAACCTAATGTCGCGTTGACTCGCGTACCACGACCCCACTGTTTCAAAAACTTAACATTCGCCACGGCCGTGTTCCCATCGTCTTGTCACTACTTGCTATCCCTAAAACTTGACAGTAAACCCCCATCCAGGAAAACTTGACACTTGGATAACCCTGTGTACGTGTCTTTTCTACTGCAGTATCGACAACTTAATCCGGAGGATCGTACCTTGTCATACCCTCCCATATCACCTCCAGCAAGTACAGCAAAACCTACCTATATGTCGACATAACAGGTCAAAGGTAAGATTTTATTAGTTAATTAATTTTGCATACTTTAAAGTGCGTTTCCTCCAACGCTAATTTTGCGAGATCAAAGTCCATTCACACACGCGGTAACGCGTTCACTGGGTAATCTAGGTCACGATAGTTTAAATTACTGGAGGTAAAGTTATGTAAAATTTATCGAGTTAAATCGTATTTTGTCTTCTTTGTAAGGCAATTTTTAATAAATTGCTAGTTTTCTTGTGTAGGTAAAGACAGTGTTTTAAGAATAGCCGTACCGTGGTTATGTATAAACATATGTTTGTATGTTAAACCCTCCTCAGCTCTAACATTTCTTAGTTAAAATGTAGGTGGTTTTGTTAGAGTGATACATTTTGATTATAGTTTGGGTGATTTTAAAGAATAATTTAATTTCGTACAAAAGATACTGCTGTTGGCTTAGCCGTAATATTTTATACTTTAAAGCAATGATTTTGCATTGAATTTCCCCTAATTCTCATTTCTAAACAATTATATTGTATGTGGCTTTGTAATGAGGGGGGGGGGGGGGAGGGACACTGGTAAAAGTATGTTTTCTATATAAATGCCATTTCGTTGGGGGGGGGGGGGGTAGATTTCCTTCGCCCCGCCCCCCCCCCCTCCCGAGGAGTTTGTTTCCTGGATGAAACATTGAACGTATAAAGCTAAAGCTGTGTATTCAACTGAAAGTCTAGAAAGTAAAACAGTATGTAGTTTTGTTATGGTGCTATTTTAGCTAGCTTGTTAGTTTACCTCAGGCATATAAAGCTATGATGTTGTATTAAACTGAAACTCTAGATGGTTAAACTGTATGTAGTTTTGTCATGGTGACATATTTCGAGTAAGCTTGTTAGTTTACCTCAGGCATATAAAGCTACAATTGTGTA